TGCATAAATGACGTTGTCTTTGATGTTTTAAAAGGGGCTAGCTCATGCGACATCCTCTGTTGAGATCCTCTCATTGGGTGGGCTAAATCCTCGACCGGGTGGATCTTTCGATTTGAGCCGCTTTTATTCACACTAACGGCATTGAATAATTCGTCTTACTCGCGAGACGTTCAGATGTGGATCTTATTCCACTCCGTTCGGCGGCTATTGCACGAAGCAAGCTGGCAAGCATATCACCTTTTGACATAATGGTAGTGGCGTTGTCACATTGAATGGAATAAGGTCTAGACGCACACTTGATATTTTCCCTTAAAGCCGTCTAGTCGCGTTATGGCACACTATGCATTCATATTGTCAGCGCGTTTTGTCAGAATATCTTCCAAACCCCAACACATGCTTCAATTACCTGAAAAGGAAACACTGTCAAGTCGAAAAAAAATAAAATGCGAGTCCTGGAGTGGCTTAATCAGCGTTTCATGTGTCCCAGAAAACACTATGCGACAGCAATTCATCTCCCTCAAACGACCCTTGCACTTATCACGGCCACGCCGGTAGACAAAATAAGCAGAGATTTGACTGGAGAATTCTGGCGAATGAATAATTCGCTTTATTTAGTAACTACTGTGATTCCAGTCCCCCTTTTTGAAGTAGTCTAAATACAAAGCCCAACACTGGGCTTATTGGCACGTCTGCGTTTATTGCTGTAAGCGAAGTGGATGAATTGAACTATCCTGCCTAACTCAAGAATATGAAATGCGTATTCAACTAAAGTACGAAATCAAACACAACGGAGACGACTACTGTGCAGTATTTCACAATAATGCAACTAATTTATTCTTACTGACTTATAAAAGTGAGATTAGTTATCTCATTTTTACAAATACAAGTGGAGGTCTTGTATGTGATCAAAGATGCTAGCAGGGCAACGAAAGCTAACTCCTATTTAACCACAAAAAAAAACAGAAGAAATCGGTTCAATAGTTTTTAATACGATTAAAGGTTTTATTTACCTCCAAAAACTGATTTATGTGGCAAAGTCAAATATTTAGCAATGGGGCGTTAGGCCACTTAGAGCAGTTACTTAGAACGCCAGGCTTTCGACACTGATTTCAGAAATATCTCTGTCATCCACGACAGAGAGTACGAAATAATGAAGGCTCCTTCACACAATTTCGCCGTTTGGAAGACGAGCAACGGGTCAACCAGTGCCGAGCTCGTGATGTCGAATGGGTTATCGAGACCACGTGCTCGCTTGACGTTTCGGCTTGCTATTAGTGTGTTACTTTGAGTTCGGTATTTGTTTAAATACTCATACTCTGTGTACATGGCCTGGTTTCTTAAACATAAGTCTCCTTCAGTTTTCGTGGAAGATGGTAAGCGATTGGTTCAGTTCTGCGTCTCACAGACCAGTGGCTGCACCATGTAAGGGCAGAAAAACGTATGAGCAAAGGACTGATCAAACACAAGTCACACTTTCAATGCAAAATCCTTCTCAAACTATGGCCTCATTCACACTACAGCCTAGTTCTTATGTCAGTGAGATATACCCGCGTTTTAATGTGAGGATAGAGCTCGATAAATACGGGTTTGTACATTGTTTGACTGAATTCATACTTACTTCAACAGACTGGAATCAGTCACTGATGAGTGTCACTGAAACGTATGTCATGTTATTAATAACTCTCACGTGACAATCCGTGGTACTCTATTGACACCTCCCTTAGCTAACTATCTTACTTAAGCCTATTAGAATCACCGATGTAAAGTAAATGGTGATTGATTTCACTTTTCTGTGTTTTTTATCAAGCCCGGTCAAAGAAGTCCTTCCAATTTCATTACAACCAAGGACGGTGACATCTTCCACTTCTTTCCATCCAATCCCTCATTTATCAAACCAAATCAGTGCCAGTATCCCCAGCTATACCGACCACAGGCTCTGGGTAGGCGACGCGCCCAGGCCTACGAATTCGGAGATGACGATTTGCTGTCAGTGAAAAGCAGTTTTCGTGCGCAAAACGTCTCGAGGCAGGGCGTCAGTGTGAAAGACGGACCAGTTCAGTGGAGTGTCGGAAGTGTTGCGCCACCTCCTGTTGTGGCTTCAAAACTATCGGCTAGGGAGAAGACTCCAGGACCGGAGAGAGCCCACAGATCCTACCTGGCTTCTCAACTCGGAGGCGGTGAAAAAGTGCCTGCTTCCAGACAAAGCTGCCCTCCTATTTGTGGTGTGGGTGTTCCAATTTTCTTGTGGTGTTAAGTTAGATGGCTATCTGGCGATCAAGGTAAAGCATGATTGTAACAAAACAAACTCAAAGACTGTAGAGCTGAGTCTCATTCATAGAAATAACAGTTTTAATAACTCCGTGTCAGTTTATCCTCGACGTAGATTCATTACCTGCCCATAAGTCTGTCCAAGCCAGCAAATATGCCCTGTCTTTTGGCATGATTCCTTGGGAGAAGAATACCGTATCTCGTAGTAAAGCGTGCAATGTGATTACTATGCAGTCTTTAAATCGTAAAATTGTATATGATTTCTTAAAAAATGGTAAGTCACGGTAACTGAGTCCAATTTCCTACGTGAGCTAGAACCCATTTGAACTAAAGTTCAGCGAACAACAGTCGCCTTTCATCCTACAAATTTTTAACTACTTATGTGCTTATTTGTCTTAAACATTTTGCCAACGAGGATATCATGATCGATAAATGTGATTTTTTACACAGAGATTAGGTACTTGTGAAAGCCTTCTTTTCCATAATTTTTTTTTCAATTGACTGCATCTAAACGAAAATGATTTTACTTACAAAGATTACTACTAACACACAGCCCAAATCGATTTGCTCTAGGTATGACAAGGAGGTCAGTTGTTCTCTTCACGGTTTAGTTTGCAAAGGCTCCCCCAGCTGAATGGTCTGGTAATCTGATTTTAGAATTTGTTACCTGTAAGAACTAAGTAGTAAGTTCAAAAAAGGAGTTTGCAAACAATTTGAGCATTTTGTTCCTCGATTTCCGAAAAACATGTTAAGCAAAGCCTTATAAAGTATTTTGACTATTATGCTGGTTTAGTTAACTTCTTTCGGTTTGTTTAGAAACCACCTGACGTTGAAGCTAGATATTCATACTTGGAAACTGGCCCTTACTCTAGCATTAACTGTTACAAACTCACTAATTTGCTAATTTAGCGGCAATCGTCTCTGGTCAACGAAAAGGAAAGATCTGACATGATCAGTATGAGGAAATTCGAGGGGAACGCAGCCCACAACATGTACAGCGCCTACAACAAGCCCCAAGAGAGTCAACAAGGACACGCACTACGCTCGACGAGCATACTGCACAAAGCAGAAGTCAAAAGGACCTCTTCTCCCGTTTGTGCTCCGGTATTGGGAACTAACACCTCAATAGCCCCAGATGTATTTAAATGAAAAATATTGGCCTGAACATTAGTCACCATCTACTCGGATACATTTTAGTACTTATTTATTTTCTGTAATAAAAATTGCACTGCTATTCATACGATCACAAATGTTTACTTGATATGGCTGAAAATTCTGCGAAAGATAGCATATTTCCTTTAGTGATCAAGGTCGATACACTTTTAAAGCATAAATGGAGGCAGTCTAACTGCGTTAAGGAAAAACTGGCTGTCATAGTTTGCTGCTTTAGTTTCCCATGGGATTGCTCCAAATTCATTAGGACACGTGTGCCTACTATTCTGAAAGGTCGAAGGCGTAGGCCATTTAAAAGAGTAAATATGAGCATTATTTAAGTGAAGGACAAGATTATTCTGCAAATCGAATAATATTATCGATTGGATACCTTAAATAACTCGATTTTAAGAACAGTCACGAGTTCATTGGACCGAATTTTTCGTTGCTAAAAAAGAAGAAAACCGCTAAATAGATTGCATCCCTAAGGAGACACAATTAATTGTAAAAATTGTTTCTGCAATCACCGAAACACCACTGATAGGTTTCTGACAACAATTCCCCTCATTTTTACAATTAAACACGCGAGTGTAAAAATTGTGTCGATCTTGAATGACGCAAAGTTGAAGGGCTTAAAATCAAGACGCTCGTGTGTCAAATAACACCTTGTTCCAAGTGGTTTATCTGAGTTAGATAAAGAACCAGTCTGCTTAGATTACTATGCAAGTAACATCAAAGTCTACATCAAAGTGACTCGGATGCAAAAGTGGCACAATTCTTCTCAAGACAAAATTATGCTTTAGTGGAACTTATTATCTAGATTGGAAGATCCCGACCAATTTACATTAAGGATGTTTGGTCAGTCAAATCAGATATTATGCTCAGCTACGTAAAACAGTCGCTGAGCTATATACACCACGTATTCGTAATGTCAGATGTAGGAGGAAAAATGCAAGCAGCCACGATTTCTGGTTCCGGCAACACGCAAAATTTACCCAAATCCAAAGCAAAAATGCTAGCTTATTAAGATACTTGACAAGTTTCTTTGTTTGCAAAATCCTATTTACAGTAATTTTGTGATTGGGTGACACAACTTATCCCACCATCAGTAAATGCAGCAAGACTCAGTCAGAAATGCAAAGATCAGGAATCCAAATCTGAAGTCTTACTCGTAAATGGGAAGTAACACATCTTATATTCATTATAATACCAACAACCTAACTTTTATACACAATAACATATCCTTTACGAGTTCCCTAAATACATACAACTCTTGGAGATACAGCAATAACGACCTCATAATTGGTAATGCAAACTTGGTGCAGAAGTCAGTAACTTACCTAACACTATGCATAACTCATCGTGAAATCGCAAAAAAGTGCGTTTTTACAGGGTAATGTCATCTGTTGTGGTCAATTTAACGACAGCACCCAAATGTTCACCAATCGTTTTAACGACTCCTAAATAGGCGCGGCTAATGCGTTATATGTTAAATGGCGTCGAGGTTAGCGCGTGCAATTTAATCGTTATCCTTCCTGTTGTGACGTGCCGTGTTATCGCATTCTTTTTTGACGTTGTAGAAATTTCGTTGCGTCTGATGTACCTCGTTATCGCGTATTTGTCGGCAACTTGCCGAAGAACTCACTTCAATCTTACATTGAGAGGATATTTGAGGGCTGCAAGGTTCGACTTGGCACACATTACCGCTACCATCCTTCAGATATCCGAAATCCAAATGATCAGGAACCCAGAGACTGACGAGTTCAGAGGTTTCGCGTATGTTGAACTGAAGGACGAGGAGTCCTATGAACGCGCACTGTCATTTGACGGAACGGTTTGTAATGCCTACATGTAATTAAATTGCGTATAGCTTGTGAACGGTAAAGAAATCCGAGTGAACAATGCCGAAAGGCGAGGTAGGTGAAATTGTTGTAGTGTGTGTCAGTTTCCGCATGTGTTGACGAGTGACATTTGACAATAGGGAACCAAGGCCGAGGCGGTCGCGGTCGGGGTGGAGGCGGCGGCGGCGGCGGCGGTGGTCCTCGTGACTTTAACGGTCGTAACAGTAAGTAAATTCGTATTTACTGTGGTTTTGTGTGAGTCGTATATCCATTTGAAGATGTGGATTTACTTGGTCGAGTGACGGTATGCGGTACAGTGTTTTTGCAGACTTTATTTGTCTCTTCGTTTTTCCGTGTGTTTTGTTCCGAAAACGTTGGTGACATTACTGGGGCTGGTGGTTGTAGGGGCGTTAGCGTAAGTAGGGTTACTGGTTCGTAAGTTGGTTTCTCATCGACCTTCAGTTGGATAGTTTAAACGTTGATTCCCGCTTTTAACCTGCAGTGAAGTATAATTTTTGGTAACAATGTGGTTAAGATGTTTGCGGTGTATCGATGTTTAATACAAAAGTGCTGTGTGTCGAGTGCTCTAATCGTTCCATTTTCTGAATTAGTCTTGTTGGTAGTGGGAAAGCGTGAAATTGAGTTGGGCATGTCACATTGTCACAGACAGTGGTATGTGTTTGTGTGAATGAATCGTTAATCGTTGAGGGAATTGTGTGCTAACGCGTGTATGTAAAGTGCAGTGGATATTGCCGGAGGAGTGGCGTGTGTATTTCTGTGTATGACTTGATAGCTGCAGCTCTGCACATGCTCAGTAAAGTGGTTGAAAGTTTTGTTGAGTATTGTGGATGATCTGATATTTTACTGGCACGTTAATGCGTTCGTCGTGGACTAGAGTCATCTGAGTTTTTTGCCGTACAGCTTTACTTTACTGTCTTAATTGACTTGAGGCGAACATTTGCTTGTAGGCAACGTGCGTGGTGGTGGTCGGCCAGGCGGCTTTGGTGGTGGTGGCCACGGTGGTGGTGGCGGTGGTGGCTTCGAAAATCGCCCGCGCCCTGGTGGTTATCGTCCGCGAGTGCAGCCTGGCGCGGGCGGTTTCCAAGACATCCGTCGTCCCACCCCACCACCGAGTAACCGATCAGCCGGTTTCGTAATACCCCCACCAAATTTGGATGCAGCTGACCGCCCCCGCATCTCCATCAAGCCCCTACTGAATCCATTAGATGTAAAGAATGAGGACCGCGAACTTTCAGAACGCTCCAAAGCCATCTTTGGAGTTGGTAAACCTCGACAGGCCAGTCCGCCGCGGTAAGTAATGTTGGCGGTTGATGAATGATGATAATGTGCGACAGGCAGTGTTTGCTTAGATAATATCCACGACATTTACTTTAGTGTTGACTGTAAGTTGTAGCACTCTTGGCATTGACATTTGAATAGCGGACTGTGGTTTTTTGTTTAAAAGGCATGTGAGATGTTAGGAGTGTAGAGAATGACTTGTGGCGTGATGTGTAGGGATTTGGTGTGTTTGCTGAGTAAGCTTGATCAAGGCGCGTGGTGGCTTGGAGACATCGGTGGTCAGTTAATTGCCGTGGTCTGTTATCACTTGATAATGAGGGAATGTAGCATTGTGTGTCACACTGACTAGATGACTGCCTTCTAATGTAGGTGTTTTTAAAGCTGCGGTGTGTGTTATTCGTTCTTTCTACTCGGTGTCCAGTTATTGGCCACGCTATGTTTGCGGTATTAGCACGTTATGTGATAACCGATGGCTACTGTCATGGCTGCGAAAGCAGTGTATGTTAGTGTTATAATCTGTGGTTACTGGTCGCATGCTTTGAATGGTACCGTTTGAAGTAGCGTGCGTGTATACTCCAGTAAGCAGTTGAACTATTGAAATCGTCTTAATTGCCAAGAGTAACCACACAGCCATAAGACGAGTCGTAAAGGTGACTGTCACGTTCTAGTACTGTGTTAAGTTGATTGGAATCCCAGTGAGTGTGCGGTTATGGTGTTTTTTGGTCAGTGTGAGTGCGAAAAATAGTTGCTAGAGGCTTTAGTAGCTTAGTTGGCATAAGCTCTGGTGGGTTTTCTTTGTCGCAAGGTATATGTGGAAATGGGTGTTAGGATTGGCGTATCGACAGTTTTGACTGGTGTGTGTTGTGTCGTGTGGTTATCGCACCGGCGGTGTATAATTATTTTGTGGTGGTGGTGGTGTGTGTGAGTTGTGTTGGGTAAGATCTTGTGACGTTTTTTTATTTGTCTGTTTTTTTTGTGCGCTTTAGTGAGTCTGCTAATGGATCTGTCTTGGGGAACAACTAAGCGCCACACCTGTGAATACGATCATCTCCCGATTAGCTACCTGTATTTCACAAGCCGCTTCCGCTGTCGCTGTATACTTACACGTAAATCGACTTGTCTCTTTTGATGCAGACACCAGTGCCGCTCACCGGAGTATTGGTACTGCTACAAGCAATGGCTAGCGTTCTCGCTGTCAAGCGTGTCACTACTGCCAACCCCGAACATTATTCTATAACTTCAAGAGTCCCCTCCCCTAGGCTTAAGTGTACATTTTTTTTCCATCATCGGCCAATGAGAATAAAGGCTTGTGTATACAAGCTTTGGTTGTGGTGTGAGTGCGGAGGATACGTTAAGTATTGATCATAGAAGCTGATTCGTGGATTGTCGATTTTGGACTCCTACAGGGACGCCGTTACTACTGTGACTACTGTGAGACGAGCTTTCCAGACAGTCTGGTGAATAGGAGGAATCACCTGAAGGGCGCGAGACATGTTCAGGTGAGATTGGAACACTTGAATCCTTTCAGGGGTTTGTCTTGGTTTGGTTTTAACCTGAAGTGTATTCAGATCCAGTGGAGGTGTTGGCTGCGGAGCGAAGTAAACAGCGTTGTGTATCGTTCATTCGAACAGGAGTGTGTCAGTACGGCGCTGCTTGTCGTTTTTCGCACTTGACTCAAGAGGATGTGAGCGTGCTAGTGGCTGCGTCGGGTAACTACAAGCATTGAATGTGACACCGTGTAGCCCCTGTTGAGGAGCCTTTGCAGGCTCTTGTGGAATTGGAAGAAGCGGTTAGATGGAGGCGAGATGCACTGGGAAAGAAGTGGCTTGTTAACGCTTTTCGTCGTGAAGATCTGCCACCGTCGATTAGGCGATGTCTTGAAGACGGGGAAGGATGACGATGAAAGAGCGAACGTATTGTGTCAGTGTGTGGTTTTTGAGTTGAACATGTTGTTCCGTGTTGTTGTTGTTGTTGAGCGGTGTATGGATGATGTGCCTGTGAATGTGCTTCAATTAGAAGTCACAAACGTGGGCTCGTTGTGAAGCAGCATGGGGCGTTATCAGGCGTTACTGCGTGATATTGTTGTGTTTCGACCGATGGCCTGAGTTGGGTGTCATGAGTATGTTGCTTCCTGAATAGTTTTATTCAAGACCACATGACGTTGAGGTGGAAAATATTGTTCACACACCCACTGGCCGTTGGTTTATTTACTGATGTGCTTTCTGACAACATTCCAGGAGTGCTCCTGATTCTTAGCTGGAAAGCTTGCTTCCTTTCCACGCCGTCAGGCCATTCCTGCACTTTCTTCAACTTTTCTGCTTTCCCTAGTCCAATTATTGTAAGGTTGCTCTTGTGTTTTAGTTGTTATGTGTAGGGCTTCACGAATGCGCTCTGTAAACTTATTTGTGTCCCTATTCACACCCCGAAATTGTTTTGGAGGATTCTCGGATTTTTGTTACATGAAATGAAACCGAGGCAATTCTAAACGCGGATACTACTGTAATGCATTGGACATATGCAGATGCATTCATCACCGACTTTTTGCATGTAAGATTTCGTGCGTTGTTGATACTGATCTAGCGTGGTAGGTGTTTTGTCCTGCCTCTCCATAGTTAGGTTTAAATTTCTTTAAATAAACTGCAAATGGTCCGTCATTCAATCCAAACGAGGAGGGTGTCTCAGGGAGAGTACCGAGGCATACTGGAGGTTTTGCTTAACGTCATTACGAGTCCCTTTCGAAGACAATGTCTCGTCCGCACTCACTTGATGTTTCTGAGATGCCCTGTGATTTGGAACCCGGAGGCCGATTTCCTCTATGTAATCATTTCCCTTTTGTACTGTAAAGCCTAGGACGCAGTATTTCTATGTGTGGTTGTCAATGGGAGTAACATCCTCCAGGATGGATTTTGCTGACCTTATTTTGTTAATTCCTTGCAAACGGTGACTGAACTTTACTGTGAAATTCAGCTGCAAAGAAGTCTATCACACCAGTGTTCGCCTTGCTTTTTGGTCTCATTGCCCTTGAAGTGGCTGTGGCCTACTTATGTTGGAGAGCGGGTGTCGTTGGCTCACAAGAAGTCTTCAAGAGGGTTTCTCCGTGTGATTATCTACTGCAGGAAACAGGTTAACATCAAGAGTGTGAGTTGAGAGATGTCGGCCTGGGAAGTTGTTCAAGGCGGTAGAGTGCAAGTGATGATCTTCGTGTAGCAGTAAAGGAACATGGGAAGCCTTGTTCTGATTGCGAATTAGAACTTTGTTGGTAGAGCGCATATTTGGTTTGTGCGCTTCTCTATCATTAACACCAACCACGACCTTACTTGAAACTCCCAAATGTGTAAGTGGCATAATGCAGTGTTATGTTGATTGAAACGAATCGAAGACAGCACCATCAAGAGTTCATGTGGGGGGGAGGGGGTAAGTGCTAAAATTAGGCTCAATCATTTGTGGTTTTTTGTTGGTACAGATTTGACTAATTTACACGAGAAAAGTGCTGGAATGCAGCAGGTCGTCAATGGATTCTGTGCATCCTGTTGGAACATTTATATGCCCATCTACTGTTTTTTTTGGAACGGTAGTTCTTTTCCTCTTAGTATTCCGAAATTGGCACCTCACATTAATAGAGGATCGTGCTGGTCGAAGTTTTAATGGTAAACGACCTTGTCGTTTTTGTATTTTTTTCTACATGCCAAATTCTAAGCCTGTTTCTGCCTTTTCTGATTGGTCTACACGAACACTTGCAGGTGCAAGTAATGTTTATGAGGTTTTTTTCTATTTGATTTAAAAAATTTTTATGAGTCATAGCATTAAGGTTCAAGTGTTGCAATAATATCTACGACAAAAGTGTTTGTTATGGTAAATTGGAAAATTCGTAACTATAATACCATCATGATTTCATTTGGGAAGTGGTAATAGCTAGTAGGCAGAGTGTTCTTTCACGCTTGTTTAACACTAATTTGACTACTTTGCGATAAAAAAGGAAATAATCGAGAACAGATGGTTGCCTGCCCTTGTCTTTGTTCATCGATGAATGTGTACTTTATGCTGACCCGCATAGTCGTAATCGCTTGGCCCCATGATTCACATTTGTGGACAGCCTTTACTGCATTCGACTGTCAGCCGATTTCGCGGCTTGTTTTACGCACAAAATGTTTTCTGTGAATCCTGTACTTACGGTGGAATCGCCTTCTTTCCATGGGTTTTAGCGAAGTCTAAAATCCGAACACGTCCTTTGGCGCGTCACATGCCTCGAAATTATCTTGAATCGCACAAAGACGCGAAGAAAGCCGTCCAAAAAACTTTGCCGTTTATTCAACAGTTACCAATTTGATATGAAGGTCATAGGAAAAGGGGAATTGTTCTCTCATAGGGATTGCTAATTTCGTTTGGCGTTTCTGTAAAACAAGACAAGCTCGCATTATTGGAGGGGCTCACTGTATTTTTACCTGGTTGGTGCACTTTAAAAGTGCAAACTAGAGTGATGTGGTTTTTCAAACTGATCGAAAACGCGTGGTGCAAAATGAACTTTCCTGTGCAGGCTCTCCGAAGTCCTGCTTTTTGAGCCACGCAATTTCAACGCAGTTAGTTTTTTTTGCAAATGATGCCAAAACTCATTCATTCTGTCAGACAATATCATTGTTTGGAGACACAAAATAATTCGCTTTACAGTCTTGTCACCTGATCGATGTCATGGATAGTTAAACTCTTATCTCCCAGAGGGACTGCACGAATGGAGACTGGAATGTGACCGTATGTCCCAGTATGAATTTATTTATAACCAATTATGGGTAGTAATAATCGGTAATGCCTTTGTTCAGTCGTAGAATCATCATACATTCAATTAGAAAAAAGAGATTTGCTGGACGAAAATACCTGCGAACTAATCTGGTTCTTAGAGCGCACTGCGCAATAACTCCTGGAAATAGACCAAAATACCCCAGCTGCATTAAATTGCTTGGATAAACTCGAAACCTGGCTGCTACTTCGATAAACCTGTGACTCTTTTACCTGTATACCGATACGAAGCCCCAAGCATAGGCGGTTGAATCCCTTGTTTAGCCTGTCCGAAGGCTACCCCGTCACTAGCACGAGGCCAAAACACGTAAAGGTCAGCGCCTCCACAACTGGGGCGAGACACTGTGCCCTTGCTGTCTCAGATGAGCCCACTTGTCCATTGCGTAGGCGGCCTTCAGTGCAGGTCGGGGTGAAAGTACTTTTGAGGGTGGATGGGCCAGCAGGAAGGCGACAACTTATGTATGCTTACGTATATCGATGATATCCTCATTGCTAGCGAGAATCAAGAGGAGCATATGAAGCATCTTGACGATGTATTCCAGCGCCTCAATGAATACGGCCTTATTATCAACCCATCAAAATGTGTGTTCGGCGTTCCTGAACTTGA